CTGAACTAGAACTAGAACTGAACTAGAACTGAACTAGAACTGAACTAGAACTGAACTAGAACTGAACTAGAACTGAACTAGAACTGAACTAGAACTGAACTAGAACTGAACTAGAACTGAACTAGAACTGAACTAGAACTGAACTAGAACTGAACTAGAACTGAACTAAAACTGAACTAGAACTGAACTAGAACTGAATTAGAACTGAACTAGAACTGAACTAGAACTGAACTAGAACTGAACTCGAACTGAACTAGAACTGAACTAGAACTGAACTAGAACTGAACTAGAACTGAACTAGAACTGAACTAGAACTGAACTAAACTGAACTAAAACTGAACTAGAACTGAACTAGAACTGAACTAGAACTGAACTAGAACTGAACTAGAACTGAACTAGAACTGAACTAGAACTGAACTAGAACTGAACTAGAACTGAACTAGAACTGAACTAGAACTGAACTAGAACTGAACTAGAACTGAACTAGAACTGAACTAGAACTGAACTAGAACTGAACTAGAACTGAACTGAACTAGAACTGAACTAGAACTAGAACTGAACTAGAACTGAACTAGAACTGAACTAGAACTGAACTAGAACTGAACTAGAACTGAACTAGAACTGAACTAGAACTGAACTAGAACTGAACTAGAACTGAACTAGAACTGAACTAGAACTGAACTAGAACTGAACTAGAACTGAACTAGAACTGAACTAGAACTGACTAGAACTGAACTAGAACTGAACTAGAACTGAACTAGAACTGAACTAGAACCGAACTAGAACTGATCTAGAACTGAACTAGAACTGAACTAGAACTGAACTAGAACTGAACTAGAACTGAACTAGAACTGAACTAGAACTGAACTAGAACTGAACTAGAACTGAACTAGAACTGAACTAGAACTGAACTAGAACTGAACTAGAACTGAACTAGAACTGAACTAGAACTGAACTAGAACTGAACTAGAACTGAACTAGAACTGAACTAGAACTGAACTAGAACTGAACTAGAACTGAACTAGAACTGAACTAGAACTGAACTAGAACTGAACTAGAACTGAACTAGAACTGAACTAGAACTGAACTAGAACTGAACTAGAACTGAACTAGAACTGAATAGAACTGAACTAGAACTGAAGTAGAACTGAACTAGAACTGAACTAGAACTGAACTAGAACTGAACTAGAACTGAACTAGAACTGAACTAGAACTGAACTAGAACCGAACTAGAACTGATCTAGAACTGAACTAGAACTAAAACTGAACTGTACTGAACTAGAACTGAACTAGAACTGAACTAGAACTGAACTAGAACTGAACTAGAACTGAACTAGAACTGAACTAGAACTGAACTAGAACTGAACTAGAACTGAACTAGAACTGAACTAGAACTGAACTAGAACTGAACTAGAACTGAACTAGAACTGAACTAGAACTGAACTAGAACTGAACTAGAACTGAACTAGAACTGAACTAGAACTGAACTAGAACTGAACTAGAACTGAACTAGAAACTAGAACTGAACTAGAACTGAACTAGAACTGAACTAGAACTGAACTAGAACTGAACTAGAACTGAACTAGAACTGAACTAGAACTGAACTAGAACCGAACTAGAACTGATCTAGAACTGATCTAGAACTGAACTAGAACTGAACTAGAACTGAACTAGAACTGAACTAGAACTGAACTAGAACTGAACTAGAACTGAACTAGAACTGAACTAGAACTGAACTAGAACTGAACTAGAACTGAACTAGAACTGAACTAGAACTGAACTAGAACTGAACTAGAACTGAACTAGAACTGAACTAGAACTGAACTAGAACTGAACTAGAACTGAACTAGAACTGAACTAGAACTGAACTAGAATTGAACTAGAACTGAACTAGAACTGAACTAGAACTGAACTAGAACTGAACTAGAATTGAACTAGAACTGAACTAGAACTGAACTAGTACCGAACTAGAACTGATCTAGAACTGAACTAAAACTGAACTGTACTGAACTAGAACTGAACTAGAAACTGAACATTAGCTGAATTAGAACTTATCTAGAACTGAAATGGAATTGAACTGAGATATAACTAGAATCGATTTAGACATTCAACTCAAATACAGTTGTTTCCTCACAGTGTAATAGCGAAAAAAATATTTACAATTAATTCAAATAAACTTAATTACAAAAATTAAAATTCCAAAAACTGAAAACAAACACGCAGAAAATCCCCCAAAATAATTAGATGGCAACTTAAATTATAAAATATGATAATGATGAATGAACTTAAAATACAAAGAAAATATCTACAGTTGAATGATCTTAACACCTTGACATTGTTGCTCTAAACAATGAAGTCAAGCTTTACTTTTTAAGTACAATTGTACTTAGATTTATAAAAAAAAACTAATTAAAGAAAAACTTACTTTTTAACATCGCGATTAGTATTCGCCGAAAATATCCAATCGGCGGCCTTTTGGGCATCGGGTCCTTCCAAATAGAGTTTACAAAAATAGCTCATATTAAATACCACAGCATTGTTACGGCATGCCATGGCCTCTTCACCAATCTACAAACAATACGTATGATGATGGCAAGGGAATAAATTTAACAACAACAGCATACAGCAACGAAGAGCAAACATCAGTAGCAAACAGTTGTGTTATGTCAGTCGTACATTTGTTCGAAGCAATGAAGAAAAGAAAACAACATCCGCAATCCGTGGTTAAGCAAATATCACACAATTTTGCGTAAGAATAACACAATACGGGCAATAAAATCATAAAATGTGGCACGCACCACGTAAGACATGCAAGAGAAAGTAAACAATTAGTTTGACAAATATTTAACAATAATTGCTACTGCTGCCAGCTAGCTATCGTTATGCCTACCAAATTGTGATGTTCCGAAAAACTGCCATATTTTAAATCTCCATCTAATACACTCTCATAAGCACAATCCTTATGGCGTTCATTGCCATAACTGCCATACCAATCGTAGGGTAATGCGGGTGCAGGTTTTTGTAAAAAGAATCCGGGACGTTCCCATCCCTGTTTCTCTTCCATAAAGGCATTATAGGACAGCATATCTTCATGTAGGGGATCTTTTGGAAATCACGTCCAGCCATAGGTTGATCGTATTTAAAGACCATACTGTAATTTTTGGCATAACTTTCATGAGACTTTTCATTAATCCATTGGGTAGCCTGACTCTGTTTGTCGGTAAAACGTCTGAGATCAAATCCAAACATGGGCAAATCTGGTTTCCCATTGATGACCCACAAAGCAGTTTGTTCACCACAGCCGCCACCAAACATCATGCCAGCCGAATTAAAACCACAATTATGATACAAACCGCTAATAACTGTATCAGGTCCCATTAAAGGTTTATGATCTGGTGTAAAAGACTCAGGACCACAAACAGTACTCTTTACACCATAATCACCATAAGAAGGACACAATTTAACGGCACCATTTAAATGAGCATCGAATACCGACCAATCCAAATCATACAATCCGAAATGAAAATCTTTAGCTACAGGATCCAATAAAATTGGATTAGGTTCATAACCACCCATTTGTATAGCATCACCTTGTATTCTAAAGTATATGGAATAATCATGATCACGTATATTCGGCAAACCCCTAACACCAGGTATCGATTCCGATAAAATATAAGCATGTTTCATGGGTATTAAAGGCAAAAATGAGCCATGTTTTTCTATCAAATCTCTACCCCAAACACCGGTGGCATTGACTACAGTATTTGTTTTAATGGTGCCATAAGGGGTTGAAACACCCACTATCTTTTTACCTCGTCCCGTATTTTCCACCACTAAATCATCTACTGAACAATTCTCTATCACTTTACCGCCATTTTTACTAGCTGCTCTCGTTAAAGCGGTACACAACATGGCTGGATCTACAACACCATCACCGGGTGAATATAAAGCACCAATAAAAGATTTGGGATCCAATAGAGGGAATACTTTCTGGGTTTCCTCGGGAGTGAGAACATAGTTTTCAATGCCTAAAGCATTGCCCACTGTGGCCAAACGGCGGTATTCATCTAAACGGGTCTAGATTTACAAGAAATAAAAACAAAATTTCATAATTATATCAATGCAGCTGATTTGAAATAGAACTGAAGTAGAACTGAACTAAAGCTGAACTAGAACAAAACTAGAACTGAACTAGAAGTGAACAAGAACCAAACTTGAACTGAAATAGAACTGAACTAGAACTGAATTAGAACTGAACTACCAATCAATCAATATATCTGTCTATCTATCTAACTAACTAACTACTAACTAACTAACTAACTAACTAACTAACTAACTAACTAACTAACTAACTAACTAACTAACTACTAACTAACTAACTAACTAACTAACTAACTACTAACTAACTAACTAACTAACTAACTAACTAACTAACTAACTAACTAACTAACTAACTAACTAACTAACTAACTAACTAACTAACTAACTAACTAACTAACTAACTAACTAACTAACTAACTAACTAACTAACTAACTAACTAACTAACTAACTAACTAACTAACTAACTAACTAACTAACTAACTAACTAACTAACTAACTAACTAACTAACTAACTAACTAACTAACTAACTAACTAACTAACTAACTAACTAACTAACTAACTAACTAACTAACTAACTAACTAACTAACTAACTAACTAACTAACTAACTAACTAACTAACTAACTAACTAACTAACTAACTAACTAACTAACTAACTAACTAACTAACTAACTAACTAACTAACTAACTAACTAACTAACTAACTAACTAACTAACTAACTAACTAACTAACTAACTAACTAACTAACTAACTAACTAACTAACTAACTAACTAACTAACTAACTAACTAACTAACTAACTAACTAACTAACTAACTAACTAACTAACTAACTAACTAACTAACTAACTAACTAACTAACTAACTAACTAACTGACTAACTAACGAACGAACTAACTAACTAACTAACTAACTAACTATCTATCTATCTATCTATCTATCTATCTATCTATCTATCTATCTATCTATCTATCTATCTATCTATCTATCTATCTATCCATCTATCTGTCCATCTATGGCTATGGCAAAATTTAGGATCAATAACGCGCATTTGGCTAGTAAATAACAATAAATTAAAATGTGTTTGATCGTCTGATGATGAGAAAACCTCTTGGTACCATATTTTCTCTGACGTCAACTGCTTAAAGATGTTTTTATTACTTTCATATTCCCCCTTATCAGTTGTTTTTAGAAATTAAAAAAAATGTTTAATTCTCACACTATATCTTGACCTACATCTGAGTGAGCTATAAATACTCCACCATTTTGTATCCAGCCAGGATCCAAACCAGTTTCCTCTTCCAATTGCATTAGCATATTACGTGAATTCGCCAATAATTGTATATCTACATCATTTGGTCGTAGACGCCATACCAAACCGGCGGTATGCCAGGTGGTACCGGCTGTTAGTTTGGCACGTTCCAACAAAACTGCTTTAAACGCCACGTTTGGCTAAATGATATAATGTATGACAGCCAGCCGAGCCTCCACCAATTATAACAACATCCGCTGAGGAAGGAACTGTCACTTCAGTCTTTGCTGTTCTTTGTTCTGTGCTGAATTTTAACTTTTGCTGTAATACAGGTACAGTTTTGGCTGTTTGCTGTTGAGCCTTTGGCGTTAAATGACCCACAACATATTTACTTATTCTCCACATTTTTTTTTTATTATTTTTCACAAGATGCGCTTCGCTTGAAGCTATGTTTTAAACTGATCTTTTAGAATATTGAAAACATCCGAAATAATGATTTGCTTTGAAATACTAGTTAATGTATACAAAGCAAAGGTTAGTTGGGGGGGTCACTGGAAAGTGATAAGGAGCTACTAATACAATTAAGGCGAAATAATAATTATATTCGTAATATGTGTATAAAAACAAATATGTTTTACTTTTGGGAAATCATAAAAGCTTTTAAGTGATAAGAGGGGCTTGCCTATATAATGGGAAAGCTTTACAATGATACAGCATTTATAGGGGACTACAAATGTTTCCAAAACAATGTAATCACTGAGACAATATGATTATTGGTAATTAACAGGTCAAAACTATTTGGTTAAAACTAGTTTTTTTTATAGAAAGAATTCAGATTTAGTTTGATTACAGATACAATGTGATCAAATTGGATTTTTTATAATTATACGAAAATGTTTATACTAATGACCCTTTGAGATTTAAAAATATTTATAAAAATAATTCTTATTTCCTATTACATATTAGTTTCTATTTCCCTCCAAATTCATTAATAATTTCCCACTTAATTTCCCTTTTTTTCTACTTATAAATCATCTAAATATTTACATTGTATGTCAAAACAATATGTTCACAATCAAACAGTTTGTTATTACAATAAACAAATACGATCCAACAATGATCATTATTACCATAATGATCAACATCAAAAAAAAAAGAAAAAAGGAAAGAGTATTTGCCACCAAATGGATCAATATTTTAATTTTCTTTAAGAAAAACAAAAGAAAATATGTACAACAACCAGCATTAAGTAGTGATCTCTTCATTCATAGATCTTGTAAACAATACAAATATTTAGACATTCATTAATATAAACACTATCCACACTCATGCTCTCTATGTTGCCTCAAAAAGAGCCTACAATTTGCCACAGGCTTGTGAGGCCTGTGATTTAAATTTTTACTCGTCTTTTGGCGGCCATTGTTTATTTTCCTGATCGTTTGCAAACGGCCAATAGAAAGAAGGAACGATACTTACGCTGCTATTCTATTGAGAGTAAATGTTTACATAATTTGTGTGTTACTCTAGTTTTTTGTTTCTGACACGATCACTGAAGTCTCCACCCACATAGACTAAAAATAGTCCTAGTGAAAGAGAGAAAGTGTAAATTATTATTTTCTATTGAACATATGTTATTCAAGTATGTAATATTATGCTAAGTGTTCTATTGAGGAGTACCCCGAAAAAAAAACAAACAAAAAAAGAGTCTAAATAGTCATGATCTCATAGAGATCATTTCAGTTTCATGCAATTCATTATCCCTCACGGTTGTCGAGTTTACGTAAGGAAAGTAATTAAAAAAAGCGTTCTATTTAATTATTCAAAAAACATATTAATCACTAATAGTGATCAAAATTTGTTAAATCGGTGCTGTGCGTTACATATTTCTTAAAAAAGTTAAAATACAAATTGTGTTTTTATAAAAATTTTTAGAAAATAAAGAAATTTAAAGAAAATTTTCTGCAAATTGTGTATTAAAGAAATTTTTTATCATTATGCCACGCAAGAAGCGTTCTGCGAGTCCCTTTGAACTTATGGATGATGATTTTGATGATAACAGTTCTCAAAGTAAGTAAATTTAATATTAACGGATTCGATTTTTATAACCACAAAACATTGGTCTTAGAATCACACAAGTTTAGACATGGACGATATGATAGTTATGATCTTTAGTCTGTGTGAAGAGATTCGTTAGGTTCTACTTACGAGTTTTTGACATTGAAAATCGTTCAAATAGGTTCTTAACAAGAAACCTAGAAAACTGTGCAAAAAGATAAAAATTATTTGGAACTGTTAAAATGTTTTCATTCGCAATATATACAGTTCTTAGCTCTGATATATTTTCGTCCTGTTACATGTTTTGGTGGTGTAAAAGGACTCTGAAATCATTAAGAAACAAGTTTTCAAAGTTTTAAAAACATAGTTTAAGCTAAGCGCACCATGTTACGAATCGTTTAACTTCGGAGACTTAACAGCTTTCAGCCAAAACTATATATACATTGCAGCAAAAATTCAAATGCAGCACAGCATAAACAATAACGACAGTGCCTTCCTCCGCTTTTGTAACAATTGCTGGAGGATGGGCTGACTTTCTTACTTTGTATCATTTGGCTTTTAAGCGGTTTTATTGGAACTTTCGATACTGACACATTAAGTACCAGTACACAGAGGGAAAAAGAAATATACACGCTTGGTACCAAATTGGCACCAAAGAGTTTGTAATTTTTCAATAACAACCGTTGTCAAAGTATATACATACGTACGACAACACTATGTCGCAACGTTGTCAACATTGCAACAATTCGTTGTCGAAATCTAAATTTTTTACACATACGTTGTCTAAATGTTAACAAACGTGGTAAGCTCACTATTGGCAACGGATTGTTTGCAATAGTGAACTTACCACGTTTGTTAACATTTAGACAACGTATGTGTAAAAAATTTAGATTTCGACAACGAATTGTTGCAATGTTGACAACGTTGCGACATAGTGTTGTCGTACGTATGTATATACTTTGACAACGGTTGTTATTGAAAAATTACAAACTCTTTGGTGCCAATTTGGTACCAAGCGTGTATATTTCTTTTTCCCTCTGTGTACTTAATCAGAACCGAAGAAATACACCTAGTACACTATTGGGTATGTTGTATGGAAAAGGTAGGTGGGCAAATCTTTGTAGGGTTCTCTATGTAGTTAATATCGTTCGATGTGCCGAAACTCAGTTTCCTGGACGTATTCCCTTAGAATTTTCTAATCAAAGTTCCTGAAGGATAATTTCCTGGACGTATTTCCTTAAAATTTTCTAATCATAGTTACTGATGGATAGGATGTAATATCACGGAATAGCTCCCATGATATTTGGATCTAATTTCGGAGAACGTTTCACTCTCCTCTCAGTTTATAATTTCCATGACCATCAAGACCAATATATTGTGCCACTTCAGCTAAATGAGTCTACAGACTTTCAAGACTGAGTGAGGTGGAATTGCCTAAACTGTCAAAAAAGAGAAGAGTATAACGTGGACCTTACCTTACGCTGAGCCTATGTTGTGCGATCTATCTATGAGACCAATAGGAATTATGAATATTGCTCCATCTAGATTTCAATTGCGCCAGAACTACTCTTGTTTGAAGTGGCGGTATGTGCTCTTTTTCTACTGCAGGTGGCGGGTGATCAGCAAGTACGATATTTTACTGGGTAGTTTTTATATCCTACACCACTATAGTGGGGAGGGTATTATACGTTTGTGCTGATGTTAGTAACACACAAAAATATTGGTTCTACATCCACCTTAAAGTATACCGATCGATTCAGAATCACTTTTTGAGTCGATTAAGACATGTCCGTCCGTTTGTCTGGCTGGCTGGCTGGCAGTCCATGTAAACCTTGTGCACAAGCTACCGGCCGCAATTTTCAAGATAATTTGATGAAATTTGGACCAAGCTTGTTTTTTGGCACAAGGACGAAGCCTATTGAAAATGGGCTAGCCCTCATACAACCGTACCTTCCGTTTTGGGCACAAATAAGTTTTATATAAGTAGGGTATTATATGGTCGGCCATGCCTGATTATACTTCCCTACTTGTTCGTAATGTATTTAATATATAAATTCGATCACGTTTTCTTTCGAATCGGGCCACCCCTCTGTGTTTCTATGAATGTCGTGAAGCGTCGGCTTATATAACAAGAATTTCGAGTTCGATATTTGAATGTAGTTCTTCTAATGTTGTTGGCATAGATTTGTGATTTAGTCTAAAGGGATTAAATTGTACGGCCGTCCGTTAATCTTATCGTCTGTTTTCATCAACTAAAACATGCCGTAATCGCACGTGAATTTCTTCGTGATAAAATGGCATAGACTAATGTTTCAAAAGGTGAAAGTACCTTACTCAACCTACTTATTAGTAATTTTCTAAAGGGTACCTTATGGTACTTTATATGGGTGCTAGGGTCAGATGTAAACTGATTGCCCATTTTCACAACAAAATTAACTGAATCAATTGAGAATATTTGTGGATAAATTGAGTTCCATCTATCGTGTTTTCAGACGGACTGGCAGATAGACGGACATGGCTAGATTTTAAAATATATAATAAGGAATCAAAATATATATAATTTCGTAAGTCTACGACCAATCTATATGTCCCCCAACTAATTATCATAATATTTTCTAACAAACTTTACATTAATTTTAGGTTCTCGCAATGGTAATCCGCCCATACAACGTAACGCCGCCAATGCCCGAGAACGGGCACGTATGCGTGTTCTATCGAGTGCATTTGGAAGACTTAAAACAAAATTACCCAACATTCCAGCCGATACTAAACTATCCAAATTGGATACTTTACGTTTGGCCACTATGTATATAAAACAGCTGAAAACCGTAGTCGAAGGAGGAATAGGAGGAGCTGGTGCTGCCACCGCAACAAATGGCGATATAATGGAAGGCACTTTAAACAATATTGGCAATAATGCAACACATAATTATTTAAATTTAAATACAGGAGTACAAAGTATGGTAAGTCAAAAAAAAAAGAAAGCAAAATAAATCTTAAAATATTTCTTAGGCCAAGAAAGTTCATGAACGCATTAAAATTCTTTTAAAGAGCAAATTTAAAATGAATAATTTTAAATAGATCTGAGAATATGGTGTGTAATGTGGTACACTTAAGTGATGTCAGTGCCACCACTTTATAAATACCAAACAGCCACCTTGCAACAAGCTGCATTTTGTCAACAAAATTTTTATATTTTGTCAATTTACTTGACAGACAAATTTTTATTTTAAATGGTGTCATTAAATTTTATATTACATACAGCACTACTTAATATAGAAAAGACAACAGATTTAACACTGATTTGTGGTTTCTTAATCTCTCTGAGATTATGGACAATAATTTATATGAAAATATTAAACATTACCTTTTTTAAGTACTTCTTCCCCTGTAAACGTATGTTTTGCCCCCAAAAGTCTATAGAATTTTTAAATATAAATATGTATTTCAAACATAAATTTTCCTGTAATGCGATACTTTAGTGTAAAATTTTTTTGCTTTTTCCCTTCATTTTGTATGAAGAGCTGCCGAGTATTTATTTAAATTTATGACAGTTTATCACATCGTTTGCATAGAAGTGTTCTTATTTTTTTTTTTTGTTATTATTCTTAGGTGTTTTAGTTATTTTTAAATAAAGATATTATTTCTAGATTTCAATTCAGTTTTTTTTTTCAATTTCTTTTGTGAGAAGTCTTTGACAGTCTTGACTAGTTGAAGTACTTGTCATTTTAGCATTATTTTGTCGCCCGTTTTCTATATGTCTATGTTTCCTTTTCCATTTTATTTGTATTTGATTTGTTTTTGGGACAATTTCTATTTAAATGTTGTCTTTAACCGTCATAAAATAAATAATTATTTAAGTATAAGAATATTTAAAAAAAAAATATTAATTACAAATAGTATTGAATCATTAATTGGAATTTAAACGAACACAACTGAAGAAAATTTTGAATCAGGCAGTAATTTTAAAAATTGTTGTGCAATTTATACATTTTGGTGCTAAACTAAGGCATATATCGAAAAATGGTCTAAAACTGAACCGAAATAGAACTGAAGTATATTTGAACTAGAACTGAACTATTATCGAATTACAACTGAACTAGAAGTGAACTTGATCAGAGCTAAAATTGAACTAGAACCTAACTCTATATGAACTAGAAATAAACTAGAACTAAACTAGAAATGATTTAGAACTGAACTAGAACAGAAATAAAACTGATATAGAACTGAACTAGAATTCGAACTGAACTAGAACTGTACTGGAACTGAACTAGAACTGAACTAGAACTGAACTAGAACTGAACTAAAACTGAACTAGAACTGAACTAGAACTGAACTAGAACTGAACTAGAACTGAACTAGAACTGAACTGGAACTGAACTAGAACTGAACTAAAACTGAACTAGAACTGACCTAAAACTGAACTAAACCTGAACTAGAACTGAACTAGAACTGAACTAGAACTGAACTAGAACTGAACTAGAACTGAACTAGAACTGAACTAGAACTGAACTAGAACTGAACTAGAACTGAACTAGAACTGAACTAGAACTGAACTAGAACTGAACTAGAACTGAACTAGAACTGACTACGAACTAGAACTGAACTAGAACTGAACTAGAACTGAACTAGAACTGAACTAGAACTGAACTAGAACTGAACTAGAACTGAACTAGAACTGAACTAGAACTGAACTAGAACTGAACTAGAACTGAACTAGAACTGAACTAGAACTGAACTAGAACTGAACTAGAACTGAACTAGAACTGAACTAGAACTGAACTAGAACTGAACTAGAACTGAACTAGAACTGAACTAGAACTGAACTAGAACTGAACTAGAACTGAACTAGAACTGAACTAGAACTGAACTAGAACTGAACTAGAACTGAACTAGAACTGAACTAGAACTGAACTAGAACTGAACTAGAACTGAACTAGAACTGAACTAGAACTGAACTAGAACTGAACTAGAACTGAACTAGAACTGACTAGAACTGAACTAGAACTGAACTAGAACTGAACTAGAACTGAACTAGAACTGAACTAGAACTGAACTAGAACTGAACTAGAACTGAACTAGAACTGAACTAGAACTGAACTAGAACTGAACTAGAACTGAACTAGAACTAGAAACTGAACTAGAACTGAACTAGAACTGAACTAGAACTGAACTAGAACTGAACTAGAACTGAACTAGAACTGAACTAGAACTAGAACTGAACTGAACTGAACTAGAACACTAGACTAGAACTGAACTAGAACTGACTAGAACTGAACTAGAAACTGACTAGAACTGACTAAACTGAACTAGAACGAACTAGAACTGAACTAGAACTGACTAGAACTGAACTAGAACTGAACTAGAACTGAACTAGAACTAACGAGAACTGAACTAGAACTGAACTAGAACTGAACTAGAACTGAACTAGACTGAATGAACTGACTAGAACTGAACTAGAACTGAACTAGAACTGAACTAGAAACTGAAACTAGAACTGAACTAGACAAACTAGAACTGAACTAGAATTGAACTAGAACTGAACTAGAACTGAACTAGAACTGAACTAGAACTGAACTGAACTAGAACTGAACTAGAACTGAACTATAACTGAACTAGAACTAAACTGAAATAGAACTGAACTGGAACATAACGAAAACAGAACTGAAGTAGAACTGAGTTAAAACTAGAACTGATCTATTTAAAAAATATGAATGATCACCAAATAAGCTTCTAATATAAAACAATCTTTCCACGAAAAAAATAACAAAAACCACTGAATTGTATCTTATTCTTTTAAACAAATAGGAAAACCCCCTCATATTATTCTATTCCCTCACAACATAAACACTATAAAGACATCAAAATTTCAAAACCATATGGACCCTATAAGCAGTCAGAGTTTGTTTAGGCAGCGAAAAATAACCACACCACATATCATTACCCACAATATTCTAATAATAATAATAATAATGATGTTGCTGATGTTGATGACGTTGTTTATAGGCAAATAATAATTAGCATGTGGCAAGTATCAACAAAAGAAGGAAAAAGAAAGACAAACAACACTTTTTTTTGGTGTTTTCACGCTAAATTGTGTGAATTGATTGCGATGTTGTGATGAATTCCTTTTGTTACTTATGGTTTCCACAACAAATTGGTTACAAAATTTATTACAAGCATCATTTAGTAATTTATGTTTTAATATAAGAAATGTTTGGGTTATTTATAAAATACACACAATGAAAAAAACTAAACACATAAAGACACTTAAGTGGCTTCTATTATATCTATAAATATTTATAAACAAATTTATTTTTTTACCCAATTATTAAGCACAACCAATAATCACAATTTTATTTCATATTTTTATTTACAGAATTGGCCTTTTGGTTTTCATCATCATTTATCGAATTCTTCACTGATACGTTCATCACCTGCCACGTCCCTGATTAATCATAATACCTCTAACAATAATTGGAGTCCCAATGGTGATAATAATAATGAAGAACAATTAAAACCTTTACGTTATGAGGACAATTATGAACATAATCATCATCAACAAGAACAAACTTCATCTTACATACAACACAACACGAATCATAATCATCAACCAAATCATTGGTATTCAGAGACCCCATCACCCGAATTAGATTCCACATCAAGTACTTGTTTGACTTTTGAAAATACGCATCTTCAACATCAGCCATCAGAGCAGCATCATCAACAGCAGCAGCAACAAATGCACAGTCATCATCAACATCATCATCACCACCACCACAATTTGACACATTTACAATCTGATCCAACAACACATTCCTCCTCAACATTTCAATTGCAACATGATTTCCATCATCATTCGCATCACCATCAACAACATCAGCCGTCACAATTACATCATTTGCATCAAAATTCTTTTGTAAATAATTCAAATTTTCAATCAACTTCAATACGTTAAGTTCTCTTTAATAATAAATAATTTAAATTTAATTTATTAAAAACCTTAAAAGTATTGTAATTAATTAGTTAATAAATTATTTTTAATATTTACACATAAAATAAAAGTGTAAAATTAATTTTTTCAAGGGCAAAAAGAATGAAAATCTGTGATAACTTTTATTTTGTACTACAAATCGATTTTTGAGTGAAGACATAAAATTCCATTTTCTGGCTAAACTAAAGGCTCTAGGGCAAAATGAAAGAAAATCTGTGATCACTTTATTTTGCACCAAAAATCGATTTTTTGAGTGAAAAATTAAAATTCCATTTTCTAGCTAAACGATAGGCCCTAGAGCGAAAACAAAGAAAATCTGTGATCACTTTTATTTTTCACAAAAAAATCGATTTTTAAGTGAAAACATAGACGTTAATTTTCTGGCTAAACGAGAGGCTCTATGGCAAATGCAATGAAAATCTGTGATCACTTTTTGCAACAAAAATTGATTTTTGAGTGAAAACACAAAAATCGACGAAAAGAATTAAAATCTGTGATCACTTTTAATCGCACCAAAAATCGACTTTTGAGTGAAAATATAAAAGTCCATTTTCTGGCTAAACGAGAGGCTATAGGGCAAAAAGAATGAAAATCTGTGATCACTTTTATTTTGCACCAAAAATCCATTTTTTTAATGAAAAAATAAAATTCTATTTTCTGGCTAAAACAGAGGCCCTAGGGCGAAAACAAAGAATATCTGTGATCACTTTTATTTTGCACCAAAAATCGATTTTTGAGTGGAAGCATAAAAATCCATTTTCTGGCTAAACCAGAGGCCCTAGGGCAAAAACAAAGAAAATCCGCGATCACTTTATTTTGCACCAAAAATCGATTTTTTGAGTGAAAAATTAAAATTCCATTTTCTAGCTAAACGAGAGGCACTAGGGCGAAAACAAAGAAAATCTGTGATCACTTTTATTTTTCACCAGAAATCGATTTTTGAGTGAAAACATCAAAGTCAATTTTCTGGCTAAACTAATGGCTCTAAGGGCAAAAATAATGAAAATCTGTGATCACTTTTATTTTTCACAAAAATCGTTTTTTGCCCTAGGGCGAAAACAATGAAAATCTGTAATCAGTTTTATATTGCACAAAAAATCGATTTTTGAGTGTAAACAATAATTCAGTGTAAACAATATTTCAGTTTTCACTAAAGGCTCTAGGTCAAAAACAATAAAAAAATCTATGATAACTTTTATTTTGTACTAAAAATCGATTTTTGAGTAAATACATAAAATTCCATTTTCTGGCTAAACTAAAGGCTCTAGGGCAAAATGAAAGAAAATCTGTGATCACTTTTATTTTGCACCAAAAATTGATTTTTGAGAAAATCTGTGATCACTTTTATTTTGTACTAAAAATCGATTTTTCACTGAAAACATAAAAGACCATTTTCTGGCTTAACTAGAGGCCCTAGGGCAAAAACAATGAATATCTGTGATCACTTTTATTTTTCACAAAAAATCGATTTTTGAGTGAAAATATGAAAGTCAATTTTCTGGCTAAACGAGAGGCCCTAGGGCAAAAACAAAGAAAATCCGTGATCACTTTTATTTTGTACCAAAAATCGATTTTCTGGCTAAACTAAAGGCCCAAGGACAAAAACAATGCAAATCTGTGATCATTTTTATTTTGCAACAAATATCTTTTTTTGACTGAAAACATATTATTTTGCGATCACTATTATTTTGCACCAATAATCGATTTTTAAGTGAAATCATAAAAATCCACGAAATCTGTGATAAATTTTATTTTGCACCAAAAATCGATTTTTGTAAAAACATAAAAGTCCATTTTCTGGCTAAACGAGAGGCTCTAGGGCAAAAACAATGAAAATCTGTGATCACTTTTTTTGAGTGAAAACATAAAAGTACATTTTCTGGCAAAACGTGAGGCTCTGGGGCAAAAAGAATAAAAATCTGTGATCACTTTTATTTCGAAACAAAAATCGATTTTTGAGTGAAAACATAAAAATCCATTTTCTGGATAAACGAGAGGCCTCAAAGCAAAAGCAATGAATATCTGTGATCACTTTTATTTTGTACCAAAAATCGATTTTTGAGTGAAAACAATGAAAATCTGTGATCATTTTTATTTTGCAACATATTATTTTGCGATCACTATTATTTTGCACTAATAATCGATTTTTAAGTGAAATCATAAAAATCTATTTTCTGGCTAAATGAGAGACAATGAAAAACTAAAGGCTCTAGGGCAAAAACAATGAAAATCCGTGATCACTTTTATTTTGCACCAAAAATCGATTTTTGAGTGGAAACATAAAAGTCCATTTTCTGGCTAAACGAGAGGCCCTAGGGCAAAAACAAAGAAAATCCGTGATCACTTTTATTTTGCACCAAAAATCGATTTTTTGAGTGAAAAATTAAAATTTCATTTTCTAACTAAACGAGAGGCCCTAGGGCGAAAACAAAAAATCTGTGATCACTTTTATTTTTCACAAAAAATCGATTTTTGAGTGCAAATATAAGAGTCAATTTTCTGGCTAAACGAGAGGCCCCAAAGCAATGAAAATCTGTGATCATTTTTATTTTGTACCAAAAATCGATTTTTGAGTGAAAACATAAAAATCCATTTGCTTTAGGGCAAAGAATGAAAATCTGTGATTACATTGATATCGCACCAAAAACTGATTTTTGAGTGAAAACATAAAAGTCCATTTTCTGGCTAAACTAAAGGCCCAAGGACAAAAACAATGAAAATCTGTTATCATTTTTATTTTGCAACATAATATTTTGCGATCACTATTATTTTGCACTAATAATCGATTTTTAAGTGAAATCATAAAAATCCATTTTCTGGCTAAATGAGAGACAATGAAAAACTAAAGGCTCTAGGGCAAAAACAATGAAAATCCGTTATCACTTTTATTTTGCACAAAAAATCGATTTTTAGTGCAAATATAAAAGTCAATTTTCTGGCTAAACGAGAGGCCCTAGGGCAAAAACAAAGAAAATCCGTGATCACTTTTATTTTGTACCAAAAATCGATTTTTTGAGTGAAAAATTAAAATTTCATTTTCTAGCTAAACGAGAGGCCCTAGGGCGAAAACAATGAAAATCTGTGATCAACTTTTATTTTTCACAAAAAATCGATTTTTTAGTGCAAATATAAAAGTCAATTTTCTGGCTAAACGAGAGGCTCTAAAGCAAAAGCAATGAAAATCTGTGATCATTTTTATTTTGTACCAAAAATCGATTTTTGAGTGAAAACATAAAAATCCATTTTCTGGCTAAACTAAAGGTTTTAGGGCAAAAACAAAGAAAATCTGTAATCACTTTTATTTTGCACCAAAAATTGATTTTTGAGTGGAAACATAAAAGTCCATTTTCTGGCTAAACTAAAGGCTCAAGGACAAAAACAATGAATATCTGTGATCACTCTTATTTTGCACCAAAAATTGATTTCTGAATGAAAACACAAAAGTGCATTTTCTGGCTAAACTAAAGGACCTAGGACAAAAACAATGAAATCTGTGATCATTTTTATTTTGCAACAAATATCTATTTTTTAGTGAAATTACAAAAGGGCATTTTCTGGCTAAACGGGAGGCTCTAGGGCGAAAAGAATGAAAATCTGTGATCACTTTTATATCGCACCAAAAATCGATTTTGAGCGAAAACATAAAAGTCCATTTCCTGGCTAAACTAAAGGCTCTAGGTCAAAAACAATGAAAATCTGTGATCATTTTTATATCGCACCAAAAATCGATTTCTGAATGAAAACAACAAAGTGCATTTTCTGGCTAAACTAAAGGCTCAAGGACAAAAACAATGAAAATCTGTGATCACTCTTATTTTGCACCAAAAATGGATTTCTGAATGAAAACAACAAAGTGCATTTTCTGGCTAAACTAAAGGACCTAGGACAAAAACAATGATGACCAAAAATCAATTTTTGTAAAAACATAAAAGTCCATTTTCTGGCTAAACTAAAGGCTCCAGGGCAAAAACAAAGAAATCTTTGATCACTTTTATATCGCACCAAAATCGATTTTTGAGTTAAAACATAAAAGTGCATTTTCTGGCTAAACTAAAGGCTCTAGGGCAAAAACAAAGAAAATCTGTGATCATTTTTATTTCGAAACAAAAATAGAGTTTTGAGTGAAAACATTAAAGTCCATTTTCTGGCTAAACTAGAGGCTCTAGGGCAAAAACAAAGAAAATCTGTGATAACTTTCGTTTTACCATTTCTGGCTAAATTAAGGCCTATAGGGCAAAAAGAATTAAAATCTGTGATTACTTTTATTTTGCTTAGAAAACGCAAAGGTGTATTTTCTGTCTAAACTAGAGTTTTTAGGGCAAAAAGAATGATTATGCTATGTCCGTCCGTCTGTCTGTCTAACTGAACAAGAAGTTAACTAAACTAAAACTTAACTGAACTAGAAGTTAACTAAAATTGAACTAAAACTAACCTAGGACTGAACTAGAATTGAAGTGGAACTGAAATAGAACTGAAAAAGTAGTATTTTCATTTTTATGTATGTAAAGAACTTCTTTTTATTAGAAGCTATTACTAAGTTAGACAATGTTTCATCAACCATAACATTAGGCAACATGCGATAAGTTTTATTATTATACTCTACACACCTTGAATTTATAATCTTATCTCTATGCTAAAGTTTCTTCAAAAAATTCTTTGCACTTTGTGCTAATATTAACTAATTAAATTTTCTGATTAATAAATGGATTAACTTAAGTTATTTGTGATATTGTTTTTGCAAAAATAAAGAAAACTTAAAATGAAAATGAGCTTACCAACAACTGCTAGTGTTATTATAGTTAAAATGGTGATGAAATAATCTTGATATTAGTTTATGATTTTGTTTAGAATTAAAGATGAAAGTTAATGTTAATTAATTTATGATAGAGTTAGTAATTTATGGGCAAAATGTCTCATTGTCTTCCGAAAATCTAGAGCTGTAAATAAGTGAAATAAGAAATTAGTTGTTGTGAAAGTTTTTTTTCGAATAAAATAACATACTTGTCTTAAAATAAGGAAATATTAAAGAGCTTGGCTTGATTGGGTATTGCTATTGTCTGTCTATTACTTATCCTGATTTCACCCTTTTTTTTTGGCCATTTTGACTGTAATCAAAAAAATCATAAAATGAGTTTTGTTTTTTAATTAATTAAAGAAAAGTTTACACAATATTTAGTTGTTTTTTTTTATAATTTATTTTATTATTTATATTTATTCTAGCTTTTTAATTTGCATTATCAAAAAGACAACTGAACAAAGATTTTAATATATATATAAAAAAAAATAAACTTTCCCACTTCCTTACAACGAAATGTAAATTTTTGTTTATTTGTTCCTTGTGTGTATTAAAAAACTTATTTAAATTATGGAATTTAAAATCCATAAACAGAAAATTTTATATGTTTTAAGTATAATTAAATGAAATTAAAGTTTGTAAAAAACTAAAAGCACCAAAAGTTTAAAACTTTATAAAATTAAACACTTTGAAAACTGAGCACTCTTTTGGTTTAAAAGAAATATTAAAAAAAAAGAAGAAAACTTTATAAAATCTTAAATGCAATTTTCGCAAAATAGTTATTAAAACAATAAAAAAGAAAGAGAAATGAAAATATAGAAAATATAATAAGAGAGGAGTGAATTGGCAACTAAAAGATTATAGAAAAGAAAATAATAAAACTTTTTGTATATCAAAGAAGGCCTTCTTTTTGTGTTAAGATACAAATAATGTGCATTTTGGTTTTTTTGGAATTTAGTGTTTGCTTTTTGTGTTTGTTTAAAATTATTGCGATTTGCTGCCAAAGAAATATTTGTAGATCAAAGTGGCAATTAAACCCAAAATGAAGGGCATCAACCAGGATTTCATGGAGGTTTCTTCGGTTTTTTGATCACTATTCCAGGTGGGTTCAGACTTTTCGGGGATATTTGTACGTTCTTCAGGCACCAATTCACCAATTTTATATTGTTTCATCATTTCACGGGCATCGGAACTGTGACCAACATCTTCGAAATTTTCTGTAGCGTCTTTGCCGGCTTGTTCCATTAAGACCTCCTCACCACCAGGGTGCTAAAAGTAAATAAAATAAAATATAAAGAAATTAAAAATGAGAACATAAATCAAAAAAGAGACTTAGAACACTTTTTCTGCAAATAAGCGCTTTTTATGTATAAATACCTAAAGATTGTCGTATCGTGGATTTATTTATAAATTCATTTAAAGTAATCCTCAACAATAACAAAGTATTGTCGAAATTATACATAAGAATTTTAAATAGTCTAGAATTTGTTTTGTACATATTGTCTTACTAGTATTTTGTATTCATACTGTCGTCCTACTTGTTGGAATATTTTTGAATCAAGGTCAAAAATAAAGAGTATATAGATGTCTATAGTTTTGTTATTACTCTGGACTTTGATTTTAAGTACTCAAGTTTAGTAAACAAAGATTTGTATTTCCAGTAAACAATTATTTACAATGCTTTTTTTACAAAATATTTTTTTTAATAATCTTCTAATAAACTACAATAATTTTTTGTACTAGTTCAGTTCGATTCAGTTCTAGTTCTGTCTAGTTCTGTTCTAGTTCTGTTCTAGTTCTGTTCTAGTTCTGTTCTAGTTCTGTTCTAGTTCTGTTCTCGTTTCTGTTCTAGTTCTGTTCTAGTTCTGTTCTAGTTCTGTTCTAGTTCTGTTCTAGTTCTGTTCTAGTTCTGTTCTAGTTCTGTTCTAGTTCTGTTCTGTTCTAATTCTGTTCTAGTTCTGTTCTAGTTCTGTTCTAGTTCTGTTCTAGTTCTGTTCTAGTTCTGTTCTAGTTCTGTTCTAGTTCTGTTCTAGTTCTGTTCTAGTTCTGTTCTAGTTCTGTTCTAGTTCTGTTCTAGTTCTGTTCTAGTTCTGTTCTAGTTCTGTTCTAGTTCTGTTCTAGTTCTGTTCTAGTTCTGTTCTAGTTCTGTTCTAGTTCTGTTCTAGTTCGTTCTAGTTCTGTTCTAGTTCTGTTCTAGTTCTGTTCTAGTTCTGTTCTAGTTCTGTTCTAGTTCTGTTCTAGTTCTGTTCTAGTTCTGTTCTAGTTCTGTTCTAGTTCTGTTCTAGTTCTGTTCTAGTTCTGTTCTAGTTCTGTTCTAGTTCTGTTCTAGTTCTGTTCTAGTTCTGTTCTAGTTCTGTTCTAGTTCTGTTCTAGTTCTGTTTCTAGTTCTGTTCTAGTTCTGTTCTAGTTCTGTTCTAGTTCTGTTCTAGTTCTGTTCTAGTTCTGTTCTAGTTCTGTTCTAGTTCTGTTCTAGTTCTGTTCTAGTTCTGTTCTAGTTCTGTTCTAGTTCTGTTCTAGTTCTGTTCTAGTTCTGTTCTAGTTCTGTTCTAGTTCTGTTCTAGTTCTGTTCTAGTTCTGTTCTAGTTCTGTTCTAGTTCTGTTCTAGTTCTGTTCTAGTGTCTGTTCTAGTTCTGTTCTAGTTCTGTTCTAGTTCTGTTCTAGTTCTGTTCTAGTTCTGTTCTAGTTCTGTTCTAGTTCTGTTCTAGTTCTGTTCTAGTTCTGTTCTAGTTCTGTTCTAGTTCTGTTCTAGTTCTGTTCTAGTTCTGTTCTAGTTCTGTTCTAGTTCTGTTCTAGTTCTGTTCTAGTTCTGTTCTAGTTCTGTTCTAGTTCTGTTCTAGTTCTGTTCTAGTTCTGTTCTAGTTGTTCTATTCTAGTTCTGTTCTAGTTCTGTTCTAGATTCTGTTCTAGTTCTGTTCTAGTTCGGTTCTAGTTTCTGTTCTAGTTCTGTTCTAGTTCTGTTCTAGTTCTGTTCTAGTTCTGTTCTAGTTCGGTTCTAGTTCTGTTCTAGTTCTGTCTAGTTCTGTTCTAGTTCTGTTCTATTCTGTTCTAGTTTGTCTAGTTCTGTTCTAGTTCTGTTCTAGTCTGTTCTAGTTCTGTTCTAGTTCTGTTCTAGTTCTGTTTCTAGTTCGTTCTAGTTCTGTTCTAGTTCTTTCTAGTTCTGTTCGTTCTGTTCTAGTTCTGTTCTAGTTCTGTTCTAGTTCTGTTCTAGTTCTGTTCTAGTTCTGTTCTAGTTCTGTTCTAGTTCTGTTCTAGTTCTGTTCTAGTTCTGTTCTAGTTCTGTTCTAGTTCTGTTCTAGTTCTGTTCTAGTTCTGTTCTAGTTCTGTTCTAGTTCTGTTCTAGTTCTGTTCTAGTTCTGTTCTAGTTCTGTTCTAGTTCTGTTCTAGTTCTAGTTCTGTTCTAGTTCTGTTCTAGTTCTGTTCTAGTTCTGTTCTAGTTCTGTTCTAGTTCTAGTTCTGTTCTAGTTCTGTTCTAGTTCTGTTCTAGTTCTGTTCTAGTTCTGTTCTAGTTCTGTTCTAGTTCTGTTCTAGTTCTGTTATAGTTCTGTTCTAGTTCTGTTCTAGTTCTGTTCTAGTTCTGTTCTAGTTCTGTTCTAGTTCTAATCTAGTTCTGTTCTGTTCTAGTTCTGTTCTAGTTCTAATCTAGTTCTGTTCTGTTCTATTCTGTTTTAGTTCTGTTCTAGTTCTGTTTTAGTTCTGTTCTAGTTCTGTTCTAGTTCTGTTCTAGTTCTGTTCTAGTTCTGTTCTAGTTCTGTTCTAGTTTTGTTCTAGTTCTGTTTTGTTCTGTTCTAGTTCTGTTCTAGTGCTGTTCAGTTCAATGCTCTCTTTATTGTAAATTTCCTGTTGATAAAAAGTTTTTGAATACATTTTCAGTTTATAAAAAAATTTCGTTAAAGAGTAACATAAAGTAGACGAATTTTCCAATCCCACTATAAATGGTTGATAAAACTTTCTAAAGATACTTACATCAAAGTAAGTCAAAGTTTTATTATTTGAAACTTTGTTAAAATTTAAATTAACTCTAATAAAATAAAGCTAATTAGAGGTTAGTAGGTTAAATCTAATAACCTAATACTCAGGAGTATATAAGAAAAAGTTAAAAAAATTGAAACAATTATAATTACGAAATTTTAAATACTTAGTTATAGGACAAATTTAATTTAAGGTCACATTTATTACTGAGTATTGATATTAACATTTTAAAGCTTCCCAAAAAGGTAATAATAATAGTAATAACAACAATGATAATAATAAAAATAATACTAAATATGTATGTGCTGTGAACTAAAAGTTATCAAAAAGCCGGCAAATACAAATACAAACAGCGACCCTGTAGATTGTTGTGAATGTCCCAATAAGGGTTTAGGCCTAGGCAGAAGTGAATTGACTCTATACAGACATCAATCATATTTTAATTCGTTAATAGACAATTGAATCCGGAATAAATTCGTGTTAAGTAAAAATACTTTAAGTGATTTCCCGTGGATTACTTAGCGTCTTTAGAAGAAGAAAGTTTGATAAAATAGTTATTTTTATTCATACGATCAATTGACACTCAATTTATTACAAACCATTGGGTTTACTGGGTGAAAACACACACACACACACTTAAACGAATAGCAAACTTTCCTATAGACAACTTGCATGCAACGCTTTAATATGTCTTTAAAAATTAATAATACAAAAACATCAAAACGAATTAAAAACAATTGTGTATAAATATAAAATGGTCAACACAGCTGATAACCAAATTATATAAGGGAGATAATAGTAGATACATATGTATATATATATGTACATTTCTATATACTAATAATACGTATAAAGAAAGTATTTATAAATTATTTTATTTCATCTACGAATATACAATCAAAAAGAAACTCACAAAAAAGGTTTATATATGTTTGTGAAAGTAAAACATAATAACAAAATGGAATATGAAATAATGTGACTTTTGACCCAAAGACAACGGAATGAATGTATTTTTTTTTTTTTTTTTGTTATTATTGTACATTATTATGCCATAGTACAAAGTTACTTTGCAAGTCAGATTTGAAATAATTTCTGACGACCAAAAATGGTATGAAAAGAAAAACATGTGTTGAAAAGTTTTTAAATAGTTTTTGCATAAAGTAAAACAAAAATCAAATGCTTTTTTTTTTAAATTGTATAATTTACTTAAATATGCAAAAAATTTTATACAAAATATTTGCATGTAAAAAAAAATATATAAATTATTAAATTATTTGTTTTATAATAAAAAATATTTGTAATTTTTTAAAAAACCAAACTATTATTAACAACTTAATTATTTTCCTCTATATATTTTTGTCTATTTTTTTGTTACTCATAAGCATAATTTTTGCAAATTATAAATTTAAATCATATTATCATTAATATTAACATATTTAAGCAAAAGTTAAAACTGAAAACTTTCTTGCTATTTATACCCAATAGGTTTCTAACCCACTTATTCTTTTAATTTTTTGTGCATATTTTAAAGTTGGTATTGTAAACCCCATTTTGCCAATAACCGGTTTGACCAAAAAGAGAAAATAAATTAGCGGAACTATTAATGAATACAGATATTTAGTTAAATATATTAATAATATAACAGTCTTCAATAAATTTGCAATACATCAAAACTAAAACAATGGAAAAAACATTAAGGAAACAAATTTTAAAACTATTTTTTAGAATAAGATAAATTATGGTTTTAGTAAGGAAATACATGAAGTCCGATAACTATGCAATTTTTGGTTTAAGTTCTATTATAATTCAGTTCTAGTTGAATTAAAGTTTAGTTCAAGTTTATTTGCAATTTTGTTCAGGTTCAGTTTTAATTCAGTTCTTGTTAAGTTCTAGTTCAGTTCTAGTTCGGTTCTGGTTCAGATCTAGTTCGGTTCTAGTTCAGTTCTAGTTCAGTTCTAGTTCAGTTCTAGTTCAATTCTAGTTCAGTTCTAGTTCAGTTCTAGTTCAGTTCCAGTTCAGTTCTAGTTCAGTTCTAGTTCAGTTCTAGTTCAGTTCTAGTTCAGTTCTAGTTCAGTTCTAGTTCAGTTCTAGTTCAGTTCTAGTTCAGTTCTAGTTCAGTTCTAGTTCAGTTCTAGTTCAGATCATTCTAGTTCAGTTTTAGTTCAGTTCTAGTTCAGTTCTTTTTCAGTTCTAGTTCAGTTCTTGTTCAGTTCTAGTTCAGTTCTAGTTCAGTTCTAATTCAGTTCTAGTTCAGTTCTAGTTCAGTTCTAGTTCAGTTCTAGTTCAGTTCTAGTTCAGTT